AAAAAAAAAAATGCAACACATAGGGCCTGGTGTGGTGGCTCACACCTGTAATCCTAACACTCTGGGAGGCCGACGTGGGTGGATGGCTGAGCTCACTGTTTCGAAACCAACCTGAGTTACAGCCAGACCCCATGGGTTCAAAACCAGCCTAAGCTAGGGCAAGACCCTGTTTCTAAAAATAGTCAGGCGTTATGACAGACACCTGTAGTCCCAGCTACTCCTACAGAGGCTGAGGCAAAAGAATCGCTTGAGCCCCAGAGTTTGAGGTTGCTGTAAGCTATAATGCCACAGCACTCTACCACGGGAGACAAAGTGAGACTCTCCCTAAAAATAAATAAATAAAATGCAACACATGAGCCAGGAGAAAGAGCTCAATTATTCCTTATTTTTATTTCTAGGTCCAAGTAATGAGTTTCATTTTTAATCAACCTTAAAATGTCCAGAGCTGGAGCTCGGCTGCCTGTAGCTCAAGCAACTAAGGTGCCAGCCACATACACCAGAGCTACTGGGTTCGAATCCAGCCCAGGCCCACCCAACAACAGTGACAACTACAACCAAAAAATAGCCAGGCGTTGTGGTGGATGCCTGTAGTCCCAGCTACTTGGGAGGCTGAGGCAAGAGAATCAGTTAAGCCCAGGAATTGGAGGTTGCTGTGAGCTGGGACGTCACAGCACTCTACCCAGGGCAACAGCTTGAGGCTCCATCTCCAAAAAAAGAATGTCCAGAGCTGGAAGTTGGAGTAGAAGAATGTAGAGGTGCTAATCTTCCCAATTTATAAATGGTGCGTGCAACCAAAACTGAATCCAATTTCATCATCCCCAGGTGTCTCAAACCCAAGGAGGAAAGGAAAAATTTACATATACTTATTGAATATCTACTATACACCAAGTACTGTGCTAATTACTTTACATACATTATTTCCAAAGCCCATTTTCTCTCCCACACCTGGTAACACCATAAAATAAACACCACTAAATGGGGATCATCCCAAATGGGTGAGCAAGGAGGGGGCAGTCATAATCTGCAGTCCAGTTTTAGACATTTCAGTGTTTGTGTTGTAAACACAAAAAAGAGCCTTGGCTGAGGACACATCCAGGTTTTGAAATATTCTTTACAAGAGGAATACCCAAACCATGTCTTTCCCATAATTCTGAAATTAACTCATGCTATTTAATACACTGTTAAAAAGATTAAAAACTTTTACAACCTGGAGCAAAAAAATAAAGCTCACTGTAGGGGTAAAACAATCCCAATCGAATTTCTGACCTGAGTAGCACATTTAGCAATCAAATATAGAATTTATAATATTCTCTTAAAGGCCCTTCAAAGATGTACTCACAGAAGGTGACCACAAGATGAACTGGCATCTGTGTGGCCAGCGTGAGAAAGGGAAGCTTCCCTGCTGGCTGCAGGCGTTTATAGTAAGATGTGTTTCTTACCATAAAACTTAACTCATTCTCACCTATAAGGTACAAGCCATCAACTTAAATGATTGTCTATGTAGCAAACTGTCAGATGGATAAAAATGCACTTTGGGGTCCTGATATTTAAACGCCATTCTCTCCATCTCACCAAAACAAAACAAAAACACTGTCCACAGTTCACATCCATTCTTCTGCACTGACCCATTTCTTGCAAACTACAATTAATGCCTTCATTAAATATCAAGATTAAAAGAAATGTGAATGTGGTTTGTATTCTTGGAAATACTTTGCGTTCAGACTCAAAACAGAGATCAGACAAGATACAGGAATGGTCTATGCCGCCTTACTCGGATGCAGTACAGAGGGCCTGCCTGCCTGGGGGACCTGAGAGACCCCTTTCTCCCAACACACACTTGTCAAAAGAGCTGACGATGCCATCCGCCCCAAGCTGACAAGTCAGAAACCCAGAAACCTGCAAAGCTGAGGCTCTCACTACGTCTGGCTTTCTGCTAACACCCGACAAGCCCCGATCTGGGTAGGGCTCCTCAAGGTGATTTCTAAACCTAATTTCCAACATACCACGGAGCCCTCCAACAGTGCTACCAGCTTGTCTGGCAGGCAGGGAAGGAGGCGGCCCTTAGATAAGAGCCGTGCGTGGCTGCTATCACCTCACTCAGCTACCACCACCACTACCAGAAATTTAAAAACATTCCTGGGCTCTCTCGGGGTCACCTGCCATAACGGCCCCATCAACTCACGCTCACGGCGCACGCCAGGCTCCAGACCTGGACCAGGGGACAGGGTCCCACCAAAGGTTGGGGCTCCAGCGGCAGGACGGACCTAAGGACCCGGGTCCATACAAGCCGCCTCTGCCCCACCCCAGAAGCCTCCCCAGCACTCTCCCGACCCCCACTAAGAGCGGGAGCCCCCTCGGCTTCCCTGGCGCCAGTCTGCCCAGGAATTCTGGGACCCGCTCGCCAAACCCGCCCGCACCTCCAACCCCTGAGTTCAAGGACAGGGCTGGCGAGGGCCGCGGGCCCGGAAGGGGGCTTCCTCGCGGTCGCCTCAGCCCGCCAGCGAACCGGCTGGAAGGGGCTGCCGGAAGGAGGCGCCAGGTGCCCACGGCGCGGCCGCAGCACTGAGGGCTGCCCAGGCGGGAGGTCTTCAGCCACAGGTCGGCGCGGCGGGCTACCGTCCGCTCCACAACCACCCCTGGGGTCCAGCCCGGGCTCCGGAGCCCAGCGCTCTCGGCGCCGCTGGGATGCGGCTCCTCAGGGGCGGTTGGGCCGGACGCGGACGCGAAGCCCAGTCCTCACCTCCGCCTCATGCTGTTGTGTTCCTTCGGCCCCGGCGTCTGGCGACCCGCGTGGGCCGCCCAGCCCCGCTCCGGGACCCACAGCCACACGACCCCAACGCGCCAGTCCGCAGCGTCCGGCGCGAGCAACAGCAGCAGCAGCAGGAGCAGCGGCGCCGCCACCGGTGGCTGGGCGGGCACATGGAAGGGCGGGGGCTGCAGCCGTCCAGGCCCAACCATGGGACCCCGACCTCGGGGGTGGGCCATCTCAGTGTGCCTTTGGGACTAGCACATGGCTTTCGTCTTCAGGAACGCCGTTGCTACGTGCATGTTTAGATTTTGCCAGAATTTCATGGATCATATGCAAAAGGTAAAGAAATAAACAGTCGCCACGCCCTCTCTCCTCTCCGACCCCCGCACGGTCCATATGGTACAGTCCACTAAACAGCGGCGGAATAAGAGAGGGAAGAGTTGATTGGCTGGGAATATTGGAAGGGGGCGAGAAGCCACACGAAATGGCCAATGGGGGAACACGGTGGGCAAAGCAAAGCTTGCCAGATGGCCAGAAGAGAGGAGGCGTTTAAAGGGGACTTGTTTGTTGCTCTCTAGCCGCCAGAAAACATAATGAGGACTTTCTGTCGGACCCCAGGCAGATGGGAAACAAAGAGATTAAGGGAACTACAAATTTTTGGAGAAGGGAGCTAAAAGAAAATATAGTAAGAATTGAACAAGATATATGTGCCTGACCTTGAACAGGTAACTCCAACACTTAGCCTCAGTTTCCTCGTCCAGTCCAACGAGGATATTGATTGGACTGCAGTTGATCTCTAATAGCCCTTCTCAGATTTGTGAGCCTATCACCCTTTGCACGGGATTACCAATTATCTACATATATTTTTCAATTTGGTGCATAAACCACCATCTTATAGAACTTTGGTCAAAAGATAGATTTTCTGACACCAAAATCTTTATAGTGACAATACCAACCCCACTTTTTGTAAAAGCAAATGCAACATTCTTTCTGGGTCCCTCATCTCTTAAAGAAGAGCATTCTTCTTCTGTATAGAGACAACCCCTAACTGCTGAGTGTCTCAAAATTTCTAGTCCTCTAAGAGTCACTCTTCCTCTTCCTTCTCCCTTCCTCCTCACAATCAGACAAAGCTTCAATTAATAATTCATTCACCTGTTGAACTATTCAGCATTCCTGCTTTCAGCAACAAATCCCACTCGTCACCCCTCCTTAGAGCTGCTAAAGTGCTTGTCCCTATCTGAATCCTATAATACACCATACAACTATGCCTGGCCTATTGTCCTTTCAGGCCCACTACATGGTAACCTGGAGACCTTCCAAACACTCCATGGGAGCCCAGTCTGCTCTGTTTTAGAGCTTTACACAGGGCAGTGAGGCTTACATTTTGGCTACCAAGTTTTAGACCAACCTTCTTTATTTCAGACTTCCCCACCTCCTATCATCTGGTCACCCCACCCTCACTCAACCTGCTTCTACATTATATCAGGTGGTTGGGTTGGGATAACTTTTCTAACAGATCCACTTCCAACCAGAAAATTCATCTTCCAACTTTAATCCAAAGAGTTCCAAAAAGTCCAGTTCTTCCATGAAGGCTTCCCAGATTGAATGCCAGAAACTGCCAGCTTATAGAGCTCCCATTTCTATGCTGTGTCTGGCCCACCATAACCCTAATTTTCCATGCTCTGTGCCCCAATATACATTTCTTATTGACATATTTCCTTCTCTCATTAGAAGGCAGCAGCAGCAGCTTACATTTATTAAGGCCTTACTAGGTGCTAGGTGCTGTCCAGAAGTGCTTTGCGTGCATTCTTTTATTTCACCCTCATATCAACTCTATGAAGTTTCATTATTATCTTAAGGCTTAGAGAAACTGATTTTCCCAAGTGTACATGAAGGTCTCACTCTCCTAACCCCACAATGCAAGACTATCTCCAAGTTCTTGAAAATCTACTGCATTTCATACAAAAGATAAATCATACACTTATATCCTGTTTTACAGTTGTTTCTATACCTCTAATATCATTTCTGCTTCAAAACAGTCATGTGAGGAGAGTTAGTATTCATTTGTTTACAGACAAGGAAGGAAACTACAGCTCAGATACCATGAGCAGTTTGGCTAAAGGAACAAGGCTGGTAAATCATGGTGCCTAGTTTTCCAAGTTGTACATTCTTTCCACTGCAGTCCTTGCTGGGTGAGTGAAAGGCAATCTTTTTACATGTAACAACTAGAGAACAATTATAAGCAACAAGGAAACAAATACAGAATAGCAAAAGCCATGGCATTCAGGGAGTATAGCACAAGAAGTGCTTACAATGGGGTAAAAAGCAAGTCAAGGAAGACTTATGAAGAGTGAGAAGCACTGTGGACGTTTTAGTAGTTTGTTGGTTATATACTGCCAATGAGATTGTGCCTTTGACATTTCTGCAAAATTCAATAGCAAAGGGCCACGAAAACTGCTCTCCGCTGCTTGATGGAACTGCTTGGGGTGCTTAGAGTCAGCCTCGTGATTACGAAGAAGGGACTTCTGTGTACAGTGCTGCTGCCAATCAGTTTGGCAAAGTTCTCAACTTGGTGTTTAGTAAAATATCCTGCTCTAATGAGAGTTGTAGCACAGCTCTAAAAATGATGGGCTAATGATTTCATTCTTTTTAAACTGTGGACATCCTCACAGGGGTAGATATGCTAGCAAAATAGTGTGGGGGCAGCAAACTTCATATTGACTAAGAAACCTGAACAATGTAATTCTGAAGCCAATACCCCTGAGTTGCTCATTGCCTGGCTCAGCCCTGGACTATCCAGTTAATTCTCCCTCCCATAGCTCTCCTGTCTTTTCTTATCCCCAGAGAGCTCTAAAATGTCTCTGCTTATCTGGCTGCTTTATTTATGCATTCAAACGTTTATTGAGCACTCACTACAAGCAAAGAACTGTTAGGTTGTGTGGGGTTATCCTGATGGATTGAGCAGGATACTTCTACTTACTGAGTGGATGGTGATAAACATCAGACCCACATTGGTAAGAAATGAATCAGCCTGAGGCGCCTCAGAAAGTGCATGACAAGATCCCATCCCCTTGTGAAATGTATAAGCTCTTCTTTTTCTTTTTGAGACAGAGTCTCATTTTGTTGCCCTCAGTAGAGTGCCATGGCATTACAGCTGACAGCAACCCCAAATTCTTAGGC